GGGTTGGCCGCTTTTGATGGTCTGCATTTGGCGGACTGCCCGTGGGCAACCGTCTACCCCTTCTGATCGGAAATATATGATCGGTTGGGTTATTCGGGATTTATACATGAACGGTTTGTAGTTTAGGGTTAGGGTTAGTGGCTAGATATTCCTTTTCTTCAGAATTTGGTTTTGCATTATGCTCGGGTAGGATATAGGCGATGCTTCAGGAAAAAAAAGAAACGTGGATGGCCATGTTTCATCCCCTCCCTGTTCAAAATTTCTCCGCAGAAATCTCAAGCGAACATTGTTACAGTAGTAAGGAACCGAGTGTGTCGATTGCTTTTTCTCGTACGGCCCCAAAAAATGTTGTTTTTCCGATGTTTGTTTTTCTTTGTATTCTTGAGTATTGCAGCTATCGGTAGAGCGCCATTCTCACTTGTTCTTACTTTGTCTTTGGTGTTGACCGGAAGAAAAGCGTTAGGGTGGCAAGAATGAGACGCTACGAGAGGCAAAAACGAATGAAAGAAACACTTTTTTGGAAAATACAAATATTCTTTCGGGGGAAAAAAAGGCGTTCTACTTGTAAGAGGGGATCAAGCTCCTGACTTCTTCTTGTTTCCACGTCCTACCGAGAAATTTCGCCCAATGTCTTCACCGATCTTATGTTTCCATCAGAGGGAGTATGTCGGTAGCCCATGATGGATGGGCTGTGTCCATCAGCTGCCCACGATGGGCTGCCCACAACAAAGGCTGCCAACAAGGGCTGCCCATGGGCTCCCCACCATTTCCTGCTCTGCCCATGAGCTGCCAACGATTCTCTCCCATGATGGGCTACCCATGATCTACCCAGGATAGGCTGGTCACAAACCGCCCGTGGTGGGCTACTCTTGAGCTGCCCACGATGGGCAGCCCACCATGGCCATGTGCCGCCTGTCATGGGTATTTTGGGCATGCCCATGGGCATGCCCACGGAGTGACCCACGAGTGACCCATGGGTCGCCCATGGGCTGTCCATGGGTCACCCGTGGGCATGTCCATGGGCATGCCCATGGGCAGCCCATATGGGGCACCCATGGGCAACAAACGCCCGATGGGTGCCCCATGTGTGCCCCATATGTGCCCCATGGGGCACATATGGGGCACTCATGGGCCGTTTGGGAAAACTGTAGAAAGTGTGGGAGACCCTATTCAAGGGGCTATTCGAGCTATCGCGAAACGTGTGCCGCAGGTCGACATCGGTCTGTTTCTTTCTGTAATGCTGACACATGAGGTTCGAATCCTCTAAAAAAGGCGAGGAGGACTGGAAGACGGCGAACCCGTGAATTTAGACGAGAGAGAAACAGCGCACAAGCTCGCACATGGCCGCACACGTGGGGTCTCCCACTCTTTGCTAAAACCGCCCATGGGTCACCCATGGGTCACCCATGGGCACTTTGTTGCTCATGGGTCACCCATGGTTGACCCATGGGCAGCCCATATGGGTTGCCGATGGGCATGCCCATGGGTAGCCCGTGGGCATCAGCCCATGGGCGGCACATGGGCGGCCCATGGGCATTACATGGACCTGCATGGACGGCCATTGAGTGCTTTTCAACCGGAACCAGTGTACTCCTAAACAAAAGATTATCTGCTCTGAAACGGACAGTATAAAGGCTAATACTCCTGACGTTAACCCTAACCCCAAGCCCACACGATACGTGCTAGGTCGGCGTTGGGTGGCTAAGTTCTAGGTTGATGTGCCGATGGCTAAGTTCTAGGTTGATATGCCGGTGGCGAGTTCTAGGTTGAAGTGCGGCACTTCGTGGGCAGTTCATGGGCCGCCCATGGCGGTCTATGAAGTGCCCATGGACGGCCCATGGGTGACCCATGGGTGACCCATGGGCGGTTTAACAAAACTGTCAGTAGCGTGGGAGATTGCTTGTGACGTGCGCTATTACACGCGGCAGTCGATTGAACGTGGCGACTGATCATGGTTTGGGATGCCTTGTCGAGGCACACGCGAGATGCGCCGCGAGCCGTGCGCCATCTAGGTCGAGATCGGCGTTTGAGTCACGGTGGGGGGATCGGTATAAGAGGGTCTACAGCGACAAAAGGAACTAACAGGTCGGAGAGTCTGAAGATGACAGCTTCAGAACGATGTCGCGAGCCGTGCGCCGGATGAGGGTCGATTCAAAGTGTCAGACATCGTGTCAGTACCGCACAGAGGCCATGTACGCGTTTGGTGTGTGCTTCTCGGGAGCGATTGCTCCCCATGTGGAGTGGCCACGTCATACGTCACAACAGCAATCTGGCAGTTGGCAAGCGGCGAACCTCTCGGGTTGTTCGTAGTGGACTGCAGAGATTCGTTTCCATTTGGCAGATCTCCCACACAGGCCATTTCTCTCCGGAATTGGGTAGATCCGACTCTTTTACTCTTATATCGAAATGTGATTTCGAGATCTGATTTCTTCGTTAAGACCGACCCTAACATGCGCAAGCAAGAGTCATTGACACCCATCTTCCCTGCCATTTTTGGTACAATATAGGGTATCCACATATGGATTGACGCGGAATTTTGACCTTTGAGGATTGACGCCAACATAAAGTGACGGTTGAGGGTTTTGACGGTAATCTCGGATTTGAGACGCATCTAGATTTCGGAACGAAATCGAGAAGAGTCAGATATTCCAGAAAGGATGTTGGAAAATGACCCCACCTAGTTCAGTCCCCCTTTTCTCTCCCGAAATACGCCGGAGCAGAGAAGAAGGGGTATATTTGAGACCATCCCACCCGCCCTACACAATGCTTACTATATTCATGAACTTGCTGATCATTCAAACACTTTGGGCCTGGGTACACCCAGCCCAAAGGGTTACTTGTGGCGAGGCCCTCCTGCAGGCGCAGGAGGCCTCACCCAACCAAATCCAATACTTACATTGAATGATCTGGGTAAGGGATAAGAATACAACAGAAAAACGTATCGAGAGCAGTCACAGAAGGAAACGCATCTTGTACAGCGTAACGAGACGGGACGAGAGGGGTAGGAGACGTAGCGCGAGCCCCGTACAGTAGTACCGTAAGGATGCGAAGGTAAGCACAGGGCCGGGGAGAGATGGTACAGGCCGGAATCATCGGGTTCAGCAGCGGCTGAGCGTGAGATATGAAATGACAACAAACGTGGGAGCCAGCGGTGGAAACGCACAGCAGGCATCAACACAGGTAGGTACAGTAGCAGCACTCACTTTAGGGATAGGGGTTCGGTGCCACCGCTTGCCAGTAGCAGCAGCAGTAGTCGCGTGCGAGTTCCGTCCCCATAGGGCTGAGAACTGGGCCAGCAGTTGGGATGTTTTTGCTTTGGGGCGGATCAACAGAGCAAGCACCACGGCTGTGCGGTCGAATAAAAACCAAGAGGACAAGAGGACCGGACCATCCGCTGGAGTTTTGGAGTTGTGCGGCGTCAACCGAAATGGCAGTTACATACAGCAGTTGCAGGTCGGGGATAGTGAACTAGTGCTGTGTAAAGTTTCCTCCCGGTACTGCTGTAACAGGTCTATTGTTCTATTGCTGTTGCAACACATCTTGAGCTTGTACCAGTGTATGTGGTGTGCTGTGCGGTACAGCATATGGTCCGTATGGACTCCTCGTCGGGCTATTTTTCAAGCCGTGGATGATTCCGAGAGAGTTCCGGTGGGGCAAGGGTTATTCATTCTGGTCGTAGAATTAGTCCGATGACCATACTGTACCACACCAAATGCGTGTATTCGTCTCATTAATTCAGGCGCCAGAAAACGCACGTCTCTATGTATCTACACAGACAGGCAAAACATTTTTGGCGACACATACTGATTGCTGGAAAAGGGCCACCGAGGTCCACTTTTTTTCTTGTGGGGTTGCGTTGTCGGGGAGTTATCATTTTTGTCCACAGAAGATTTTATGGCAATCCCGACGACAGACGGTCGTTTGGTATCTCGTGCTTCCGTTCCCCACGACCCCCACCATGCACACACATCTCTCACTTCCCACCCAGCCTCCGATTACAACCTCTACATTTGCTGTGGAGCGCGGGCAGTCACCGTCATCGCCACCAGCCCAGGATATTGTAAAACCGATCGCCTGCTCCAGACGCCGCAACAACACCTGTAAGCACGACGTGGGACGCATACATGTCCAACTATGGAGTTGTTTGTAACTGTTGTTGTGTATACCTGATGCGACCATACTGCAGCTGTACATGAACACGACATTAGCCCTCTTTCGTTGCATGTCGGAAAGTGCGCGCTGCATAATTCAACCCAGAACGCTCTGGCTGCCAGTGCGCGCCCATCGTCTCACGTTGCGGCTACTTGGTTGGTCGGCGTACATGCCGATACGGGAAAAATTCACGAAAGCTTTGGGTGAGTCTCACTTCAATGCAGACCTAAGCCGATGGTCACAAGAGGAATCGCAAAATAATGAAGGTTGGGCGACCGTCGGCCCCCACAGGAGGTCTCACCAAATCTAATACTTACTGTAAGTGATGTGACATCAAATAATCTACGAGGAAGAGAACACCATAGGAATTCATCTCGTGTGAGGCAGAGAAATGCCCGCCCACTCGCCCCTATGAATCACCATTGTTGATGCAATGGTCTTCTGGGATTTTAACACAGACAGGTTCATACCCCAGAGTGTACAAATGACCCTTGGTGCTGTCTTGCGGACGCTAGCCGGCGCTGCGGTAAAGGCTCCCAACAAATACGCGCTTCCGCAGACACACATATGTGAAACAACATCAGCATTTAAACGTTCCAGTCTCACATCATTTACAGTACATAGTAATACCAGGCGCCGAGATCGCCGGCCTGTGGTAATCCACGGTAGCATTGCTCTGTCCCGATCGGAGAATTTTCGGGACGGTGTGCGCCCACAAGAAACAACCACCAGAGCCAGAGTGACTTGGAATAACTCAATCCGCCATCCATGAACCCCGTTCCGTGTTACTCCGCGTCGCGCTTACATGACGCCAACGGGTGTCTTCAACTCGATATACGGCAGACAAGATGTTGGCTGAGCCGAAGCATCTTCTCGCCGCCATGATGGCCGTCCTGTCCATCGGCCACGCGTCTGGCCAGTGTGCCAGTGCGCTCTACGTGTTCTGGGGTCCGTGTGCCAACTCGACGTGTGAATCGGCTCAGCTGTATTTCCCGATCCAATGGGAGGCAGACGTGAGTGGTGGGATGCATGAATCACAACGCGACATGCGTTAACTCGGTGGCGTGACAGCTATAGTATAGTCTATTCTGCGCGAGTAGAATAAAGAGGAGCTATGTAGAGCGCACGCTGAGAAACTCTTGGGTTCTTCAACTCGCTAGAGCACGCGCCATCCGTCATGCGTTGATACGTACGACAGAATTCATTCGCCCCTTTCGCCTGACGTTGCCAGAATGTTCAACTGGAACACTCACGCGTTCCTGTCGTTGCCCCCTGCTTGGTGTGTGACTTCGACCTGTGCAGTGCGTTGCGTCCAACCCGATCGTGACAGTCGATTTCACGGCACCTATCGTGAACAGCGGTGTTGCCTCGGCCACTGTCGAGGGCAACTCGACCACCGTGTACGGCGAGGTGTCGGATGATCAGATGAGCGTCACGTTCGGCATGGGCGAGTCTGGTGTAGATCCAAGCTCCTACGATTCAGGTTGGTCCGGGTTTCTGGTTAGTCTCGACAATTGCGACACCTCCTACACCTGGAGCGACAACTTCTTCGAGGTGTCCTACGTCGACGACGAGCAAAACACGATCGACCTGTCCGCCTTTGAAGACCCTGACATCGAGATTCCTGACACCGGGATATGTCGTGAGTACGGTTCAGGGGATGGTGCCAACTCAAACACTGAGTAAGAAACGAATAGGTCGTCTCCAATGCCATTGTTGTTACACTGCTCGAACATGACTTCCTGATCGAAGAGGGGGGGGGGAGAGGTTGCGCTGCCGATGGGAAGGGGGTCGACTGTATTGTGTACTAGCCGTTCCATAGTTCACCGTCTGTGCCTGCAACGTCGATGACGGCAACATTTTATGAACGAAACATCGACCTGTAGGGTAGTCTGCCACCTCCCCACTTCAGATGGACATGCCCTTGTCGTTCCATTCTTCTCCTGTCCTGGCAGCCACTCCTAGCCCGGTCACGCCGTCTCCAGCCGCACTAGCACCTGTCACCAACGCTGCTGCTAGCCCCACGGAAGCAGGCTCCTCGCTCGCACTCGGGTGCTACGAGGATGACCCCGAAGACCGTATCATGGACAACCTCGCTCTTTCCGACTCGTCCATGACAACCGAGGTGAATAGATGTCAGAAGATGCTATTTGGTCCCACTCCGACATTTGGTCGCATGTTTCTTGGGTTGTGTCAAGACGATCAATTACAAAGGCATTCCAGAACCTTTGCTCATCGACACGGCATATGGGTGACGGTGTCCTCCTAGCAAGACCGTGAAGAATCTGCCATCACGTTGGAAATTGAGCCCTCCCAAGGTCTGGGGTAAAAGCCAGCATTGCACGTAGACGAGGGCGGGGGTGTTGTTCCTGTTGACCTTGTGCAGGCATTCGAAAATGCCACCACGCAGGTGTTTCGCTGTTGCTGGTCGTAAACAAACGCTCCGCGTGTCCACGTCAATCACTCGCTCACATCCCCGCATGCGGCGTAGGAGACCGGCTTCATGTGAGATTGTTACGGGAACGCATATGTCGCTATCCTGGGTCTCATGACGTTGTCTGACTGAGACAATTGCGCTTATTAAGCATAAAGGATCATCTCTACGGTCTACATGAACATCTGAATTTGGACATTGTGCACCCCTACACTCGTTGAGCTGGCGCGTGAAACGTGTCCAAGGCTACCCCGATGATCCAGTCTTCTTCCATTCTGTCCGCAACGGGCTAAAATGCACGTCCGCTCGTTTGTTTTCCGCGTTCCTTCTCCTACTGGCCATATTGTACGGTGGCGTTATTCTAACATCAGCTGTGCGAGCTGACATGCGTCGGAAGCACCTACTTTGCCACACAATACCGACGAGAGGTGAGTTACGGCCGATAGCGTAGAGCCATGTGCTGAAAATGGTGAATGTTTCTAAGGCTTCGTTGTAGTGAGGTGGAGGCACAATGTTGAAATTGTTATTTCAGATCATCTTCTTCTCTCCCGACATTTCCGAAGGTTCTGTGCACACACCAATGCCCAAGGATCTTCTTACACGTTTTCTGTCCCGAGTGACGGTCGAGGTGTACCATTCTTGGTCCTCCACCCTTGGGCGCGTTCCGTGTTCTCTTTCACACACTACGACCACCGGGGCAAGGAAGCCAATACACAACGAGTTGTCGAGTAGAGTCCAAACCGGTTGTGAATGTACTTCAGTAGGAAAATAGTAACAATGGTGACAATGGCGAGGAGCGGGTACCGCCTAGAAAAGCAATAAAACCATGTTGAGACAGTTGGCCCCCGAACGTCGGAGAAGCGGGGTGAACTACATGGAATGTATTTCAGTCCTGTATCATGAGAGCTTGAAATCGAGCAATGTGTGTCATGTTTCAAGTGCGTGTCGATGAACGAAGCGCTGAGGTCGAATTGGTGAATCGCCGTTGTTTTCGCGTTCCCGAAGACATCAGTCCCCACACGTGCTGTTTCATCAAGTCATGAACGAAAAGGGCTACAAGCTTCTTCTCGTCGGACTGGCGGTGTGTTCGAGCTTTCCTCGTCTCTACCGACACTAACTCTGTCGCCTCCGCCAACCAGTGGTCTCAACCAAACCCCCCACCCCGCTCTTCTGCTCACGTTACCTCCACCAAATACCACGAACACGTGCACAGTGCTGGTGCGGTTCGGCTGATGCGGACTACGCTCTACACGGGGAGTCCACCGGCTGCACCTACGCCTGCTCAGGGGACACTTCTCAAACGTGCGGCGGGTTCAACGCCGCCAACGTCTACCTCTACCCGGATGACAGCACTCCCAGCCCCACTCCTAGCCCCATTCAAGAAGGCCCCTCTCCTGCACTTGGGTGCTACGCGGATGACCCCGAAGACCGTATCATGGACGACCTCGTTCTTTCCGACTCCTCCATGACAACCGAGGTGAGTAAGATGTTGGAGGATCTTGTATAGTCCCACTCCGTATAGTAGTCGGTTGTATCTTGGTTTGTGCAACGACGAAGAAATGTACAGGCATGCCGCGTCATGCTCAAATGACATCCCAAGATGCGGTCATCACGTCGATAATCGAACCGCTCGAGATTTCTCGTTATAAGGGGTAACGACACGCCAAGTAGACATAGGTCAGGTTTTTCCAGTCGGACGGTTTCCACGTTTCGACTGGTAGGTATTTTGCAGGTGCTGGTCGTGAGCGAAACGCTCCGTTTTCACCACTCACGTACATCCCGGCATACGTGGTAGAGAGACTGAGATCATGTGAGATTGTTACGGGAACGTCCAGTCTCTGCATGTATTGCCTTGGGTCTCATAATGTTGGGTGACGGAGAGAAAATGGGCACAACGGCAGGCAGAAAAAAGACCAGCTCCATTGTCCTACATGAAGACGCTTATTTACTCATTGTGCGCCTCTAGTCGCTGAGACGGTGCATCAAACGTGTCTTACGCCATCACGTTGATCTATTGTTTTTCTGTCCTGTCTGCAACTTGCTGCACTTTCTTGTCCTCCTTGTCGTATTGTGCCGTGGCGTCAATCGGACATCAGCTGTGCGAGCTGACATGCGAAGGAAGCACCTACTTCGCCACACAATACGGACGAGAGGTGAGTTACGGCCGATAGCGTAGAGTCATGCGCTGAAGCCATTTCGAAAGGTTTCGGCTAGTGACGAACGTTTCAGAAGCACACGTTGAAACTTCTGTAGAGAGGTGGTTTCTTATCGTCTTGTTCTCCTGCGATGTTTCCGAAGGCCCAGTAGACACACCAACAACCCGGAATGAGCGTCTTACACGTTTCATATTTCATATTTGGAGCGACGGTGGAGTCGTACCATTCTTGGTCCTCTGCCCTTTGCCGTGTTCCGTTTTCACGTTCTCAAATTGGGACCAAGAACAGCCAATACACAAGAAGGTTCCGTGTAAAGTCTAGCACGGTTGTCGATGTGGAAAAAGAGAAACGACGGCGACAGCGACAAGATGCGTGCATTACGTAGAACAGCAGTGAATACGATTGGAGACAGTTGGTCTCCAAACGCCATTTATATATAGTGGAGCATACGTTCAATCCTTCAACGTGAGAAATTGAAACATCAACATCGGGCAACTTGGCCATGGTTCAACTGCATATCGGTGGACGAAGCGCTGAGAATCGCCTGTGTTCACGCGTTCCAAAGGTCTAGTCCCCACACACAATATTTTCAGAAGTCATCGAAAAGGACTACAAGGTTCTGTACGTTGAGCTGTTCTTGTGGTCGCACGTTCCTCGTTTCTACCGGAACCCACTCGGGCGCCTCCGCCAACCTACGTTCTCGACCAAATCGCCCACCCCGCCCGTCTGTCAACGGAACCTCTACCTATTATCACGAACGCATGCACAGTGCTGGTGCGGTTCGGCTGGTGCGGACTACGCTCTACACGGGGAGTCCACCGACTGCACCTACGCCTGCTCCGGGGACACTGACCAAACGTGCGGCGGGTTCGACGCCGCCAACGTCTACCGCTACCCGGATGACAGCACTCCCAGCCCCACTCCTAGCCCCACGGAAGCAGCATCCTTTGTCGCACTTGGGTGCTACGGGGATGACCGTGAAGACCGCATCATGGACGAGCTCGTTCTTTCGGACCCCTCTATGACAACCGAGGTGATTCCAACGTCGTGGATTTTCGTTGATACCACTCGGTAATGTCTTGCAATCATTTCTTGGATTGTGTGAACAGGGAAAATGCAGAGGTATGCCTGCACCGTTGCTTATCGACACAGTGTACATGTGACGGTTTCTCCAAAAAACGGCCCCCAAGATGCGGACATAACGTCGGACGGTTCTCGCTAGTTGAGGTAAATGCATCAGTAGACTAGGGCCGGCGTTGCTGCTGACCTTCTTGAAGTATAATAAACAGTTTCCACCTTCCGGCTGTTAGGTATTTTGCAGGTGCTGGTCGTAGGCAAAATGCTCCGCTTGTCGACGGTTGTCACTCATGCACATCCCCGCATCCGTCGTAGGAGACTGACTTCATGTGAGAGTGTTTTGGGTGTTTTGGGAACGCCCAGTCTCTGTATGGGTTGCCCTGGGTCTCATGATGCTGTGACACGCGCAAAAATGGCAGACAAGAACTAGCTCTGCCGTCCTTCATGAAGAGCCGTAGTTGCGCATTGTTCACGCCTATTTAGTCGCCGAGGCGGTGCGTGAAATGTGTCCCAAGCCATCCCGTTTATCAGTTTTTCCTCTCTCTCTACGACTACACTGCGCTCATGATGCACGTCCGCCGTGTGCTGTTTGATTGCTGCACTTCTCCTCCTTGCCGTATTGTACCGTGGCGACATTCTGACACCAGCTTTGCGAGCTGACATGCCTCGGAAGCACCTACTTCGCCACACAGTACGGAAGCGAGGTAAGTTAAGCCCGATAGCGTAGCGCCGTGCGTGAAACCTTATCGAAGGCTTCGTTTTGGGGACAAACGTTTCAGAATACGTTGAAACCGCTGTGCATGTGTGATTAAAATCACCTTGTTCTCCTGCGTTGCCGAAGGTTCAGTAGACACAAAATTTTCCAAGGAGCCTCTTACACGTTTCCGAAGAACGGTTGCCAATGTGGGAAAAGCGAACGGCGACAACCGCAAGCGGCAGGCACTGCACGGAGAGAGAAGTCAAGACATTTCAAGACATTGATCCCGAAATGCCCGGAGAGTGGGGTAAACATTGATGGAATACATGTCATGTATGGCATGTTTCAGGTGCATGTCGATGGACATAGTTCTGAAATTGTATAGATGAATCTCTGTTGTCTTCGCGTTCCCAAAGGCGCTGGTCCTAAGCGGGTTGTGTTGAAATTGTTTCGCAATATCTATCGAATAACAACAAACTTCTGCAAGTCGGGCTGGCCGTGTGGTCGAGCTTTCCTCGTCTCTACCAGCCCCTTGTGTCTGTTGCCTCTGCTCAACGCATTCTTGACCAGATCCCTCACCCTTACCACAACGAAAACACGCACAGTGCTGGTGCGGGTCGGCTGGTGCCGACTACACTGTACACGGGGAGTCCACCGACTGCACATACGCCTGCTCAGGGGACGCTGACCAAATGTGCGGCGGGTACGACGCCGCCAACGTCTACCGGTACACGGCTGAGAGCACTCCCAGCCCCACTCCTAGCCCCACGGAAGCTGTTTCCTTCGTTGCTCTTGGGTGCTACGAGGATGACCCCGAAGACCGTATCATGGACGACCTCGTTCTTTCGGACGCCTCCATGACAACCGAGGTGATTGGAATATTGGAGGGTTTTGTTTGGTACCACACCGCATAGTAGTCGAATGCAACTTGGTTTGTGTGAAGGCGAAGAAATGCAGGTGCATGATCCCATGCACTTTTCTAACCGACACGGCGTACGTGCCACGGAAGTCTCCAAATGAGCCCCCTCAAGATGGGGTAATCACGTTGGGAATCGAACCTCCCATGGTATTGGCATCATTCCAAGTGGACGAGGGTCCGGGTTGCTGTTGACCTTCATTAGGTACCCCAAACAGTTCCACCTTTCGGCTGTTGGTGTTTTGCAGTTCCTGGCCGCAAGCAAAACGCTCTGTGTGTCCACGGTAGTGACTCACTCACGTCCCCGTATGCATCATAGAATGCCGGTTTAACTTTAACGTGAGATTGTTATGGAAACGCATATGACAGTACCCTGGATCTCATGATCTCACTAACATGACAAATGCTCGTCTTGAATGAAGGGCCGTAGTTGCACGGTGTACCCCTACGCCCGCTGATAGGGTACGTGAAACTTGTCAAAAGCCATCCCGTTGATCCGTTCTTCAATTTTCTCTGCAGCGTGCTGAAAACGCGCATCCGCTGGTTTTGGTTGCCCCATTTATTTCTCCTCCTTGCCGTAATGTGCCGTGGGTGTAACTCTGAAATCAGTTGTGCGAGCAAACATGCGTCGGGAGCATCTACTTCGCCACACAATATGGACGAGAGGTGAGTCAAGGCCGGTAGCGTAGAGGCGCGCAATGAAAAAGGTGGAATGTCGTTGTTTCGGTGACGAATGTTTCAGATGCACGGGTTGCAACCACTGTGCATGTGTGATTTCAGATCAACTTCTTCCCCTGCGACATTTCCGAAGGTTCAGCAGACACGCCAGTTCCTCAGGAGCCTGGAACACGTTTTCTATCTCGAGCGACGCTCGAGTGGTACCATTCTTGGTCCTTCACCCTTTCGCGGGTTCTGCGTTCCGTGCACACATGGCGACCACCGGAGGAATAGCCCGTGAAGATAATTTGAGGCAGCAGTTTTGTCCCTAAATACGAGGGTAGTGGGGTATTTTTTCGCGACATATATGTCAATTCATGCCATCTCTCAATGATGTACATGGACGCAGCTCTGGGATCGTCTTGGCGAATCGCTACCAAGCAGGTGTTGATAGCAGGACTACACACTTGACATCGGGCTGGCCGGGCGGTTCGTGCGGTTAAGCTGTCCTTGTCTCCAACAACAGCCCCCCTGTGTCTGTTACCTTTGGATACAGCATTCTCGGCCAAACCTTCCTTCCCGCTCGTCTGTCCACGTCACCTCTACCTGAAAAATACAAAACGTGCACAGTGTTGGTGCGGTTCGGTTGGTGCCGACTACACTGTACACGGGGAGTCCACCGACTGCACATACGCCTGCTCAGGGGACGCTGACCAAACGTGCGGCGGGTTCGACGCCGCCAACGTCTACCGCTATACGGATGACAGCACGCCCAGCCCCACTCCTACCCCCACGGAAGCAGCCCCCTTTGTCGCACTTGGGTGCTACGGGGACGACCGCGAAGCCCGCATCATGGACGACCTCGTTCTTTCGGACTCCTCCATGACAACCGAGGTGATGACAACTTGAGGATATTGTTTGGTTGCACTCTCGTCATAGATCGAATGGTTTAGGTTCTTAGAAAGACGACCAACAATCCGAGGTACGCCAATTGGGTTTTACCTGCGTGTCGACAGACGCACAACATGTTCTTCATACCTTTTCTCGCAACATGGCATACTTAAGAGATGTTTTCGAACACCCCCCCGACATGCGGTCACCATGTCGGGACTCGAACCATAAAGTTCGACCTTGTTGGTTTCGGTAAACTCGGTGACCTTCACCTCCATCGGCGCTTGTGTACGTAGAATTCTGCCGTTACTGACCTTGTGTCACCCTACGCAACAAGTATTGTCCTGGGTCCACGGTGTCGTTCCTCGACACGCCCCGGATGATGTATGTAGTACTGCAACGCCGGCCCCCCGCGTCGGTATGGCTGTGCGTCGTTGTGTTTGGTGGCCGACCAATGTCTTGGATGCCAATAAAATGTAATGTGTTTTGTTTCTGTTCCTTGAGAGAATTTGTTCTCCGAAACCTGTTCGAGTGCCGTCGAGTTGTAAAACACCAGCCGGTTCCGACAGGACTTCTCCTGTTCCCTCGACACGTTGTCCAATGTACACGCCTTACGTGGTGCCTGCTTCTCTTGTCTCGCTGCGTCCCATTCAAAACCTCAAGTTCCTTTCTCTCTTCTCGTTGCCCCTTTCTTTCTTTACATGTTCGTGTGTCTGACATCAGCTGTGCGAGCTCACATGCCTCGGTAGCACCTACTTCGCCACACAGTACGGGAGAGAGGTGAGTTCAGGCAGATTGCAGTGGCCTTTACGGCCATCCGCTTGGAATCTAGCCAGCTTGTACCATCTTTCGGGAGCCGCAGTGATGTTGTGCATCCTCTTGAGTATTGTTGCATTCGGTTGTACATCCTGTTTCCGCCGTAGGAACAATTGTCTTGCCGATTGTACCAGCGCGGCGTACGACTTGCCGCACATGAAGCATGAAAAAGAGGTGCCGATGGACGTGGTAGGCGTGAGAACCGTACAGCCTGTCATATTTGCCTCATTTCGTTGATGAAACAAGCCCTATTGATGTGATAGAAGTATATGTGAGTGAGTTGCGGATCTTTCAACGAGGACCGCCACACCCAAGAGTGTTGTTGAAATCCCTGCACTAATGCACAAGGGTTCCGAGGTTCTACCCGTGCGACTCCCGTTACGGCCGAGCTTTCCTCGCCTCGACCAAAGACTAAGTTCCCGTTTGTCCGTTTGATTTTCTGTCTTCCTGTGTTTCCTCTGCCGAAACTCGCACGCACAGTGCTGGTGTGGTTCTGATGGTGCGGACTACGCTTTGCACGGGGAGTCCACCGAATGCACCTACCCGTGCTCGGGGGACGCTGATCAATTGTGCGGCGGGTTTGACGCCGCCAACGTGTACCTTTTCACGGGCGAGACGTCGACATCGTCCCTCGTGGGATGTTACCAAGACGAATCGGATGCCCGCATCATGGAATTCGCGCTGACGGACACTTCTTCCATGACAATGGAGGTGGGCGCGGGTTTGGGTACCGATCGGTAGCTCTAGCAGTAGTCTTTTTGTGGTCAACGCTATATGTGCCGATTTCGCAAGACAAGCACGCGCCTATCTCTTTGAGGGAAGACTCAGGACCGTTTTTATTTCGGACAGTGAGTATTTGATCAAGTTTGCAGCAGTGAGAGATTTCGTTTCGATATCGATGACAGTTTTCCGCTCCTTCCGCCCGCTGTTGTTGGCATTTTCTAAAACGTTTCGTTTTGCAGATGTGCGAGGCAGAGTGCAGCGGCAACACGTACTTCGGCATGCAGTACGGGACGGAGGTGAGAGGTGGCCGCTTGCGAAACAGCCACGCCAATAATGAATTTCATGTACAGTACGCCATTCTCTCACATCATATTTCTCGTTCCTCATCTTGGACAACGTTTGGTGATGACTGCTTCTGTAAAGGCCTACCTATTATAGTACTCGTGGAGTCCCTCGTGCAGTATCATCGCTTGACCCAACTTGACAACGATCGACAAGGAAAATGACAGCGGAATGTTCGTTTTCTTGCGTCGTGTCTTTTGGCCATCAATCTCTCTAGTGCTTCTGCGGAGGAGAGTCAACCGACCTCTTGCAGCATGGGGAGTCAACTGCTTGCGACTACGAGTGCCCGGGGGACTCGGAGCAAGTGTGCGGAGGATTCTACGCCATGAGCGTGTACTCCTACTCGTAATAAGATCCCACCACGAATTTTCGTGTCCTAGATTCGCGTCAGAGATTGGTGCTCTAGAGTATTGTGTACCAAGTTGCGGCCGAGACAATGGCAACACCCCTCCGATACATTTCGTGGGGGAGACAGAGGAGACGGTCGAAAACGTCGCAGACGCCAGAAACGATATGTATTTTCGGTTCCAAAGTTCGTTGTCAGCAACGTTGGTGTACCCCGCCAAATCTTTGCATCGCTCAACGTCAATTGTGGTCATGGGATCAAAGGTGGCATGTTGCCTGGGTGTGATGGCTTGATCGGCCGCCTATTGTAACTACGGTAGCACTCGGTTTATGAACGTGAGGGTTCAACCTTCTCGAAAGAACTCGAACCCCACCCTAGAATAAGCCCTAGTCTACGTCGCCCCCGTTGGTGTGCCCACGGTGGGGAAAGGAGCGATCCTGGTGGCGGTGCGTTCTTTCCCCCCTCCAGGATCTGGTCACTATTGATGAAAGGCTAAAGTGCTCGGCGTGGTTGTACTTCTCTACACGAAGAAGCGGGATTCTTACGGGCCGTGATTGTAGCTCTAATCTTCCCATCATGCAACGGGGTAGCATATTTCTACTGGTCGCCGTTGGCGAACTGACCGACTGAGTGGTTGCCATCCGGCGTTGGCGTTGATGTTTGTTTTGGTTGCGGTTGTAGTTAACCTTGTATGTTTCTCTCCAGTGCATGCCGTGGGACTCGTGGTCCAGATTGGAACTAGACTACGCCACGAGATCCATAGACTAGTTGGTGTAAGGTTTTGACGTGATGACGGAAGACAATGCTGGATTGATGAAGTCATGTTCGTTTCTGCCTACTCTTCTTGGATATATTTGTTCTCCTTTCGAGGAAGATATACTGTATAGTGCAGGTAGGATATAACCTTCATTTCGTACATAGATGCGTTATAGTCGCGATCTGGTTATATCTATGACTACACATCGCTTGGCAACAGGAGTAAAAACATGTTTCTTTCTGGGTATGGGTTTGTGCAGCATTCATATTTCGAGGGTTGTACATGGAGGAGGGGTGGCCAGTATTCAGATTTGGCCCGTAGATCTAGCGCAGAGTGATTTCACGCGAGACGAGAAACGGATGGACGTAGGTATATATTCTACAGTAGCCGATGGGTTAGTCTACTGTATGCGTATACGATAGAGATCGTTTCAGCGCGTCCCCGTTGCTCTTCTTCTATCCCGGTTTTCTGCAAACGAACGACGCAAGCCCTGTTCAGTAAACTTATTTTTACATCTTATTCTTGACAACACCAATACTGGAGCACGCGCGACCTGACTCTGGTCTGAGTGTACATGTTGTACATGCACGAAAAATACAAGACATCGAACACGAAAAGTATGAAAACTTGGTACACCCCATTTTAGCCCTCCCCGCCCCCCCCGGTGTTGGCCATGGGGGTTGGGTTTTCGTCGCTTGGCAGCGATGTTGTAAAACAAGCCGATCACTTCGTGAGCTCGGCAACCAGGTTACCGCTTTTGTTTTGCCTTTGTTTTTTTTTTGCGGTAACCATGAATGGTGGTCGAGTAGATTATGTTGTGCAGGGTCGAGAACCCTCCGCGCAAGGGGGATAATCGCACCACGTTGTGTTAAAATTGGTCAAGCACCCTCGAGGCAGTTACACAGGGCTTACAACTGTCTCTCTGTGGAGTGGCCCGGTGAGAACCCGGCGTGCTCCGTCCCGGCTTTGTAGGGATACGAGGTCAATGGTCTAACGACTACGGCATGCACGACTATGAGTACACCCCTCCCCCCCCCCCGACAAGAACGCTTCATACATACTGTGCACTATTCGTGACGAGCACACTCGAGAGGTGTAAAAATCTGGCGTACAGACCTGGTACAGATTACTGGTCCGACACACACGCGAACGATGCACTTGCGTAGCACACACAGGTACAGACAAAACACAAATACACATCGCCAAACATCTCTCGACGCCCGCGGTACCCTCGCGCTCTGTGGAGCGTCCAGACGGGTTCCACCGAACACACAGCTTCAGGCCCGATCCCCATCCATAGCCGTCTTAAACCCATCGGTTGAAAGGAACCTGGTCATCAAGTTACTCTCCAACACGAATCTTATCTCTGCGTACAACTTGGTGAAGATGAACCTGCGCGCGGGGTGGGGGGAGAAACAACTCTAGGAAATGAATGAACGTGAAGGAAAATATTGCGTAGTTGTTCAATCGTTATGCACTCGGTTCAGGTTAAATCGAAACACCGTCCTGGTTCCATCGGCCCAGCGAGTGTCGATCAGAGTACCGAGCGGTTCCAGTCTGTCTGTGACCTACTATGTCAACCCTCGCGCCCACCACCTCCACCGCATATATGTTTCCACAGCGATGGGTTTCACTATTCGGAAACAATGGCAATATTCATCCGAAGGGCGAAAAATCTCACACACACCAATTTACCTTCTTTTCATCGGCGGGAGGTCGTAGAATGCTGATTGTCCGGCTCGGTAGATATCAACAATTTCAGTCTTACTGTGGGAGCTGCATTGGAACGAAGATGGCCGGAATTCAATTCCGCGAGACAGGGCAAACGCGGACAAGCAGGGGTTCAACTTGACCTTTGGAATTGCGGTGGTATTTAAGTGCAAGACCTCGCCCTACGAACGTTTCATCAACGACGCATGTACTTAGTTCGTGAGGCAGTTGCTCGCAAACGGATTGGAAACAAGAGCAGCGTTGAAACATCGAAACGTCGGTGGTCGAAGCCGGTAGTACCGCGCTATTTTTAACGCAAGTGCGGTGCCTGCCTTCCGTATTAATGGTGGCGTTCACCCTATCACATCCAAACCTACTTTATTGTTTGACGTATGGTATTGTTCACTTCCATCGAAGCTGTGCACAGCTTCCGTGGAAGTCGATGGGAGCTTCACATGCTTCCATGCCATGGAAGTAGAATCGACTCCCATGGAAGTCACTAAATTTCCATTGAAGGAAGTGGTATGGAAGTTATTTGTCAGATTTCAGTGCTAGCTTCCGTACGGCTTCCTGGAAGTCGTATCTACTTCCATGGAAGCATGTGAAGCTCCCGGAAAATGCGCAAAGTTCCGATGGCGCAGCTTCGATGAAAGTCAATATCGACTCCCATGTCGGATTCCGGCGCCAGCTTCCATACGGCTTCCATGGATGTTGCCGCAACTTCAATGGTGGTTGAGCAGTTGAAATGGAAGCCACGGGTGATTGCTTCCGTGGAAGTCGCATATTCATCTTCCACGAAAGCGTGAAGAGCTTTCATGGAAGTTCGTCCGTCGAACGCCTCTCCACGAAACCGTAAGGTACTTTCAATGAAGCACGCGATAACTTCCATGAAAGCAACGTCCACGGACGGGGCTGGCAGGCAACCTCCATGGAAGCTCGAATACGTCCAAGAAAGCAAATCCAAGCACCCACTCCCAACCCTAACCCTATATTATCGCCCAATGGTATCCTCAAGCTGGGCTCGGACGATACACTTCCATGGGAGTTGTGCCATACTGCTTCCATGGAAGAAGTCAACAAATATTTTTCCATGCAGCCCGAAGGTAGGGGACGGCCACGGTACTTGGTTGAATTGACTCCCTCTATTAGATTCACATGCAATTGGAAGCCAAAGTTTCAATGGAAGTCGCTCGTGAAACGCGTCCATGGAAGTCAAATTCAACCAACTTCCATGAGAGCTTCACGCAGTTTCCCAAAAAACGAAGGGGATTACAAATTCAGCAAAAATCGCCCGTAAGTCCGTCACCAAGGTGCCCGACGTCATAGTTTCATTCACGGAAGCGAGGGTCCGATCCCAGCGTCGAAACCACATGCCACGCAACACGTCGGGCTGTATCTGTCGACATGGGTGCGTCGGAGACTCTCCAGTATATAACGGACGTCGAAAACACTGAGTGAGGCCGTAGAATAGAATGCAGAAACGACATACACTGAATCTTAACCTTTCAATATCTGAAAAACACGTTTTTGTGTACCTGATGTTAACTTCTTCGGGGGCACCGTCGAAGATGTACCGGATCACAATCTGAGAAAATGCGTCGAAGTTGCTGCTGTATTCCGTGCCGTCCCCGCCACCCCAGTCGTTGTTGAAGTCGTCGTAGCTATCGCTTTGAAACCTTTCGAACGAGGAAATCGATTATCCGCGCAACATCTTGACGCGAACACATACATCATACATATTGTTGCGTGCAAACATCGGTGTGCGTACCGCTTTCGCTCTCTTGTGGTGGCCACAGAACCGTGAGCCGTGGGCAGAAGACATTAGACAGGTGTCAATTGAGTACTCCGTCAAAAGCGGCACCTCGACACCCTTGCGCAGGTCTCAAGCATGTGGCAAATCCAAGATCTCGGTTCACTTGTATGAAAAGCAGCGTGTGCTCCGACCAGTCTAACTCATTTTGTTCGTTCGCGGCTAGACTATAGTGTACAGAAACAGCGGTTGGCACGATCTGACCTCCGGTCGGGTGAACGTTTGCGAGCAGTATGGTAAAGTGTATCCGGCGATAATATCCGTCGATGTGGAATGTTCGGGAAATGAAGTTTTACCCCCCTGATGATTGCTTCGCGCATTTGCAGCCCTTTCCATATCATTCGGAAAGACTTGTTGACGGACGAACTTGTGTGTGACGACAACTAAAGCACTGGCCTTGTGACGTCCTTGAGGAACAGGATGGACTCTTGGCACAGAGCTTTTCGGGCAAACTCGTCAAAGACTGCGGACACGCTCGGCATCGCGGCCACCTGGGTGCGTAAGCAATATAAAACGAGAATGGGGGCACAGGAGAGTTCGTGATCACCACAGCAATAGATTTACAGTAGTGAAGAAGATATCGATGCAAGAGGCGGGTGGAAGTCCTGCTTAAACTGTCATCTGGGTTTCAGTGTTGTGTGGAGGACTCACAAAGCGTCGTTATCGATGTGAAAGTAATGTCCCTCGAACACCGATTCATCACTGTCTTCAACTACATAGGGGGCAATAACGGCCGAGGAGAGGGACGGCGACGGGGATCGACTACACCGGGCAGACAGGTGTAGGTCGGGAATGGCAGAACTCGTCTTGCTCTATCAAAGCGTTTCCGTCAATCAATGTCTGGTGAGTGTGTCGACCGAAGCATTTCTGTGTGGCCATATTTGGCGCGTCCTGAGCGCTCTCTCACCTTCTCGTACGTCCAAAGGGTGCTCTCGGACATCTCCGAATCAGCACCGTCCACCGTCGAGTTGGTGGGTGCTGTTGAGTCTCCCCTAAACGTTAAGGCAGCAGGGACGTGACAACTCCTGGGGGATACTGCCATACGTGACGAACACATTACTAGGACCGCCCTCTATTTCTGATCCATGAGGTAGACTGCTGTGTTGCAACGTACTCTTTGCACGCGGTTTCAGGCGTGAAAGCCGAACGAAATCAGTGTGTGCGTGTACGCGGTGGGGGTGGTACGGGTCAGGCGAGGGTGAAAGAGATGGGTCGCACGGCTGGAAGGCATGCTCAAAAAGCAGTGCCTACAAACCATTAATTCTTCATGTGGAGGAAAATGCAACTTCTTCGAGCCTTCCATGTATCCAGTGACCTAAGAACGTCGCAACAGTCTCCCAAGGCCTGGCTGAAACGGCTTTCCCACCTTACGTAACGGGGGATTACGGTTGAGCGTCGATCCATCCTCGAATCGAATCCTTTGATTGCTGATAGATATGTGCATTTGGTTTAGGTAAGGCGCTCACCCTACGGATGTATTATTCTTACCAGTACCACGCAGTTCGCAATAGGCCGAACGGTTGAGCAAAGAGGAAGTGTCCTCCTCCGTGAAGTTGTTCAATACGCGCGATACATGGATCCAACGACAACGGTAGATTCGCTGCTATGTAGCTAGGCTGCCGGTTGAGGAAGTAGAGACATGCCGATAGCGCGACGGAAAAGTTCTAACTTTGGGCAACCGCAGGTGGGAACATAGAAACGAAGCACTGGCGTTGACTCCTCACCCGATGGCGGCTCTTCGATCCTTACGCCTGGCCAAGGCATCGGAAACCTCGGGGTCCGACGATTCGAGGGGGTTGAAGAAAAGCTGGCGGGCAGGCGCTCCCAGACTGCGATAGGGCGAACACGACGGTAGCAGGGTTTACAAAGAAGAGGTTTGACTATCGTTGATCGAGCCAAATCGGGTCAAATTGGCCGTCGAGTTTGAGTGGATGCATGGGGTGCCGGGGATAAGATGGGGCCGTGAGAGTAGTACTGTATCCGCCCGCGAAGTCTCATACCTACCGGAGTGCAGCTCAAGACAAACGAGTTGGTGGTGGTGGTTAGCGAGGTATCGCGGTACACGTAAGTATCCCAAAAGGTGATGCTGCAATGGCCGATGCATCGGCTCGATGACGCCGGGCCACCTCTTCTCGCGTGTACTAGAAAAGGAGGCGTCTGAACCGAAGCTTGCTTTCCGGATTTTTCTTTGGAATTCAATTCATGGACAAGGTTGTGGAACGTCCAACGACTGAACCCATGAACCCTCTACACACACCGCATCTGTCAGTATACCTACCATGTCACAGGCCATGCCTGTCCATCTTTGTGGGGCAATTCGGAATCGCGTTTGGTTCGCGGCGGGGGGCTGCTGTGCCTCCTGCGCTAGCACGCGGTAGGGTTCATTTTGCGAGTATCGTAATTCCAGTTTCGGGGAACCTGATGGTGAACTGGAGGAACAGCTGGGGGTGTGGGTGTACAGGAGCATATATTCTCTGCAATGTAGGCATATCCTCGTTGTGTTAGCTTTCTCGTCATTAGTCGGAAGAGAGAAAACGACATGCCAAGTATCGAAATGCGCCTGGTCACTCGTGTCTTCTGTCCATTTTTCGTTCTTTCTGCCTTTGCTGGTTGCTCTAATGCCCCTCAATCCGCGAACACAACCACGACCACACACACACACCTCTCCTCTCTTGCGCAAGCTGACACACAACATAACCTTTCAAAATCTCTCCAACAAACACTCTCATGCCTTCTCTCAATCAGCCTACACCACTCGTTTACCTTAAAGAAAACATGACACAGGACGAGATGAAGGCGATGTATCTCTCCGTGATCCAAAGAGCTGCGGCTTGGTGTAGATAGGCGTCCGCGAGTTGCCCCGTGACTGTGAAAATAGACAAGGTGCGGTTGGGCCTGAGGTGTGCCGGCGGGTAACTTGGTGGACAGGGAACGAGGTATGGCATGTTCGCGTATGGAAATGTACGTATGTATTTATATCATTTCGCCTGTTTTCGTGCTTCGAGACATTTTTCGCTGGCGGAAGCGAGTCTTTTCCCACGCTTCCTTCTCAGTGGCACGCATCGTCGGTACATTACCACGCACACCCGAGGAGTACCAGCCACCCGTGGCGCGTGTGCTTGGCGTTCAAAGTTAAAAAAACAGGCCCTATACGCCGGGGGCGTGTTCCGCATGAAAAAAGCCTTCGCAAGAAATACGAAAACCTGCTTTGCGTGAAACAGGAAGACTTTTTTTTCGATTCCCGCGCAACGCACACAAGCCCCACAGACCATGGGCATCACGAAGTAGGGTTACGAATTGCCCCCTCGACCCCAATGGGCGGGCGGCCATAACGAGACGGATGGCGGCGACGGTTTGGGAGGAACTGAAGTATAAGAAAAAGGAAGACGACCGTTGTAGGGGTGGCAAAGAGGTTATCGGTGAGTCCGAATGTGTCATGACTGCGCGTGTGATATTTTGGATTTGCGCGGAAGGCAAATAACAAAAACGCGAAATTGTTCCTTTTTTAGGTACTCAAAACAATCATTTGTCTGGCAACCAAAGAAACAAAGTCTGTTGACGTAAGAAAGAGACGAATCTCAATTAACACTGCTTGCGAAGACCGGACTGCCTCTCTCTCTCTCTCTCTGGTCTCTTGGTGGATTCATGTTTTAAGAAGTATTCAGTGTGAGGTTACACGCGTGACCGTGTACTCTTTATTTGCTGCTCACGCAACGTTCTCGATCAGACGTGCAGGCACTCACGAGTCGCCTGTGCAGTTCCGCTAGACTGCGCTGCCAAGCAAACGTCTTTCAGTACCCTGATCCATCGAACTGATATCTCTCTTGCAACTTTGCTAGTGGCTCGTTTGTCTGTCCCGCCCAAAGAATATGAAAGAGGCACACCTCATTACTGATTGCTTGTTGGCTCCTCTGACAATGTTTCTGGACACACGCCACATCGACCACTTTTATTCCACTCAGACCACGCGGTGCAAAGGCCGGCCGCGAAGGAACCTTTTGCACATACGCTCTACCTCTGAGGTATTTGCTTCTATATGGCAGGCTGACCCTGACAGGGGTAGCTAGCGTGCTGCGCAGCGCCTGAGCTCTCGGCTTCTGAACAGTTGTGTGACTATCTGTCGTTTGAAAGTGTTCAAACTACAGTAGAGAGCGTGTGTTGCGAGGTGCTGTGGTAACGAGCAAAATGTATGTGGGTGCAAACACGCCTCCCTCTACCCTCCGCCGGCCGCAGTTTCTACCACATCATTGGGCTCCCCCTGGTACACACACACGGCTGTTCGCGTTGTTTACAGTGCGCATGAAGCCCACGGGGTATCTCGTGGGGCGCTCGGCCAACCAGCAACTGTTCCCGAAAAGATGAACATATTTAGCGAACAATTACTGAAATAAAAGTAGTAGTAAAAATTATATTCCTCAAGATCTTTGAAAAAAAGCGTAAATAGCTCGTAACCGGTGGTACTTGACGTAGGGACGACTGCAAACCAAAAAAGGCTCCCCGTGGGGAGTTAGGTGGCTTGCCTCCCGGGGGTGGCGCAAAAGAACATACGGTGAATATCATCGCGGTCGCATCGTTGCATCTAAAAGTCATGACGTTCAGTAGTGAGTGCCGGTTTTGCATATATGCTGCGGAATTTTCTTGAGATTTCGCGTCATGTGCGGGGCATATTTTTTTCTCGCCGTGACGCTTCGCGTGTGCGTGAGTGTGTGCTTTTTCGTTAGTGACGTCTCTGCTGCAGGTCCTACAGATAGATGTAATGCCCTGCGTTTGATTAATTTCTCTTCTGTATCATAATATTTTCCTCACAGGATAGTCGCCGTGTCGCGACATAGACTAGTACTTGTGTTTCAGTATGGAAATCCGAAGGGGCCATCTGTTGTCCTCTTGATTTGATTTTCTGTGCGCATCGTGAACCGTCTGAACACGACAAATGAATTTCGAAGCCTGGTGACTGCAGCCCGCAAATTGCAAAATCAGAGTCATTTTAGATTTTAGATTTTCGACTTAGGAGGTTCCAACGGCAAGAGCCTACCCGGAAAACAAAGCCTGCAATGTTTGGCTTCCTGTGGATCCATCTCTAGCTACGACGTACCTGTCACCAGCAAGGCAAAAACGATACAGACGCGAAGCTCCTGAGCGATGTTGAAAATGTCGTCCGTTTTCCTGTCGTATTGGGGGCAAAAGAATAAAGTGTACGGCATCCAATACCGATTAATAGCCACCCCAAGGCACATATGAAATACGAAAATTAACACGTTTCCACCGTGTAAAGCACGCTTGGGGACAGCATGATGACAATACCAGCAAATCAGGGAGTCGTTTTCGAAAATATTAGGGCGAGAATGAAACGCACGTATTGTGTGAACATGAGACGTTGATACCCTGGAACTGCAGACACCAATAACGCACGAGGAACATACATAACGTTGGGCAGAAGCGCCCATGTTCGTAGCCAATACGAGAGCAAACTCCCGTCACGCGCACCAGAGGAAGAAGGCGCAAAAACTCGAACCCATACATGTGCAGGCAGAGCAGCGGTTCACGATGTCGGACACTCGACCCGAACAATAATCTATGCTGGTAGCACCCGCAACACCGATCGGCGCTCTACCTAGGAAACATGCTTTGACCTTTGGCTCGGTTGGGGGCGAAAGAAGATGGTGGGCACAATGACGACTCGCTTTTTCCTTCGAAAATTTGCGCCCAAACAAGAACTATCCAAGGTCACGACGGCCACCGCCACCGGGTAACTACAAACCTCACCGGACGAGGGGGTACAGAGCGATCATGGCCACATTGAGCCCTATCGTGAGGCGCCACTGCACTTTCTCCGCACGATATGTGAACAGCCTCCGTTGAGAAGAAGCAGGGTCAGAGGGACGACGATGACGACGACAACGACGACCATGAGACGATACTCGAGATCGCACATGGTAAGCGAGAGTGACTACAAACACGACAGACCCGGAACGGTAAATGGATGGTTCATGCCTATGTGTGTGACAACGGTTCGTGAAGCGATATATATTCGAACGGTACAGTAATTCATCGTGGTTACGAGTGGAACCCGGTGGGCAGTCACCGTCAGTTGTGTGTATGCATTTGGCAGGTTAATTTCAAACAGGTCCATGGTACACGATTGGAGTCTTGAAGCGAAACGCTGATGCTTGAAGCACGCGAACCATGGACATTTGGTCCGCACGCGAACCATGGACGTTGTGGTCGTGGCCCGCCCAATAATACACCTCTCTATTTTTGATAGAAGAAACTTCCGTTCAAAAATTCGCTTGCGTGATTATTCACTCGGGAATCAATACCCGTTTCGACAGAAGTCATGGGGGTGACAGACAGCAAGAAGTAGGCAACGCGATCGTGCCATCTCAGATTTTGTACGTGTCCTCTCTCAGCTCAGACAGGAGAAAACCTTCCAGCACATGACAACCTCAAGCCAGGTCAACATGCATGGCCATCCTAGGGGCATACGTTGCAACATCTCTCACAGCTCAGCGAAGATCCCGTCCCCAACATCATACATGAGGTATAGGGGAAATCCGAGCGAGCCGATTCCGAGAATCAGGCACGCGCACACGTGATTGCGCTCCTGTGAGAGAGAAACGAGACAGATACAAATGAACGAGCGTGGCTAGCGGGCGGATGGAGTGGGGATGAGACAAGTTGTTTACGCACAGGCGGGATGGGAGGGTCCTCTGTTGTTGCTTCCTTCGGCTGCTTGATTCCTCTGGACCACGCCAACCTCCGAGACGACCGGCCGCTGTTTCTAACGTTGCCAACGTTGCCTGCAACCTTTTGGAATCCTCTTCGATGTCTCTCACCATCTCGAACGAACTTCGTTTAGCATTCTGCTACGTACGATTGCCCTCGAGAATATTTCGGCAGATTTAGTGCGGACGACACACTCTCCGGCCTGGCGTAAGGTGAGGTGCCACCCGCGCGGTCCTCGGACGGGCACCAAGCAACCCTCGCTTCTACTACAATCGAAACTCGCATCGTTAATTTATAGGCGGGGGTCTTTGACTACCGTAGCAGTTCCAGGAATACTGTATTCGGCACTGACTCCCTGTCGGCCATGCGGAGTCATCACAAAGCGCAAGGGCTTATAATAGCGGCCCCTGTGGCTGCTGTGCTATTGGGTTGCGTCTAAGTACATATAACTCCCGAACCCACAGGTGGCACTTCGCTGCAGCCCTACCGAGGCTAGCCACGGCACCGCGTTTCGTGCACTAGAGTTGAAGAGGACGGCCAGTCGAATCGTCCGGCTGCAGTAGCCGCTCGTGCCGCAGACCACGACGAAGAAGGATACCTGAGGTCGAGGGGGGTGGACGCAGGGGGGCACAACCACGCAACGTGGGGCGATGGAATGAACACCGCCGATTGTACGTCGTCGTCGCGTTGGCAGATTGCCGATGTCATCGAGTAACGCGATATTACACAGCGCCGTAAACAACCCGTAGTTGCCTGCGGTGGCGCGTACGGTACTTCACGGCTGAAAGTGAACATGCTGGAGCCTGGGCAGAGAAAAAGGATGCACCCCCACGCGATATCTCCTACCCCTGTCCAAGCATGCGAGAAACGCATCTGGTTCCTGATCGCAAGGGGTGCCAGCCCTCCTACCTATGCTATCCCTCCGAGGGTAGCGGTCTTTCATGTGGGAACATATTGCATACTCTACGAGCGTTTGGATCCAACTCTGATGTTGTTTTTCTATGGCATGGGTGCCGAAAAATCGGGTTAGCTCGTGGTCACGAAAATCCGTTTCTTTGTCATGGAGAAACAGGCAAGAAGAAGCGGCAGGAAGACTTCAGAATGGTTTCGCGTGCAAAGACACGACGCCACAATGACAACGACAACGACAACGACGACGACGATGACAACGGTGACGACGGCGACTATATCAACAACAATCAAGCTGCACTGAAATCATTTC